GCCAAAAACACTCTATCTGTCTGTGAATGCAAAAATTAACGGAATTTTGAGCGGACAGAAATAGAAATTGAAGAATTTGTTGATCTAGTGGAAGCGTTTGCCGGTTTTCAAACAGCGAGGATGACATCAAAAATAGTAGAGGAATCTGCATCAAATGCATTCTCAAATGCTTTTCTGTCGTTATCATACGAGTTTTTAATCGCTTTGAAAAACGGATCAAACTTTCAGGAAAATCTGATATTACTTGGAAGTGCTTCAAGAGACTTCTTGTACCATGTATGTATCTTACTTGCTCTTGCGAATCATTTCTAATACCGCTCTGTCCCTACGGTAATCGCTTTGTTTCCAGGAGAGCGATGTTTCTGCTATTTTTAGCGTTTACCATGCATGTAGATGTGCTAGCTAAAAAAGGTGAGCAGCCATCAACTCAAAACAAATAGTAAGTAACAAGGAGTTGGTACGGTAATCAAAGTAGAGCTCAGCACATGCTAGCGCCATCCCAGCACCTGAAAGATGAGTTTGGGAGAGACTGCAAAAATAGATGGCCAAATGAAATCACAGCGATTCTATGGACGTTAAGTTAACCATTGAATATCGCATTTTTCCAGCAGTACCTCAACAAACATACCATACATAACAAACATCATCATTACTGCATCAAGCTATGTAGTTTAAATTGGTACAATAACTTAGCAGAGAAGTGTACACTGAGTTGCTGCATAAGTTTGTCCTTTTTGCAAGTTTCTAGTTCAATATATTTTGGTAAGCAAAAACATCTTTCTTCCATAAACTTGATTTTTTTCTGTAGATTGAGCAAGCTTTTGACCATCACATATACTTACTTAGATACTTAGATGGCCCGGCTTCACGTGACGTGCGGGCCCCGGCTCAGAAGTTTCCATTTTTCCCTGTCCCTCGCTTCTGACATCCACGATCTTCTTGGCTGACGTCGGTGGCTGCGTCCACGAGTTTCAGGTGCAAAAATCGTATCCAGCTGATTTCTCAGCTGGTCCATCCGTTCCACGAACACGTCTGCCCATCTCGTTGGAGGTCTTCCTCGGGGACGTTTGGCTTCGCGAGGAATCCACTCCGATGTTCTTAGTGTCCATCTGTCGTCTGTTCTTCTCATTATGTGACCGGCCCATCGGTGTTTGGCTTTCGCGACGTATTCCACTGGGTCACGAAGACGGGACATTCTTCTCATATCCGTGCTGCGAAGTCCGACTAGATGTTGCTTGCGTCGGGTCATCTTCAGAAGACTGCGCTCGAGCGCTCTGTGGGTGGTCCGTAAAGCTTTCGACGTGGCTACAGTGTCGGCCCAAGTCTCAGCTGCGTAACAGAGCGCCGGGAGAACGGTTGAGTCGAACAGGTGGGCACGAAGCTCCGGGTCCGTCAGTTGGTCGGTGGCTTCCTTCAGGGGCCCGAAGGCGGCCCAGGCTGCTCTTCTTCTCCTGTTGAGTTCTTCCCTCAAGTCGTTCTCCATGTTCATCGAACGTCCGAGATACACGTAGGAAGACGTCTCCATAATCGGGGTGCCTTCCAATTCCATTTCTGCATCTTCGCAAAGGGCGTTCTTCATGAACTGAGTCTTCTTCCGATTTATTCGCAGTCCGATCTTCTTCCCTACTTCGTTTAGCTCCTTCAGCATCGTCTCTGCTTCGGTGATACTGCTCGAGAAGAGAACGATGTCGTCCGCAAAACGAAGGTTGGACAGGAATCTCCCATCAACTCGTATGCCTCTCTCGTCCCAGTCCAGTGACTTCATCACCCACTGCAAGGCCGCGGTGAACAGCTTCGGCGAGATTGTGTCGCCTTGTCGGACCCCCTTCCCGATTGGTATGGTCAGGGGGCGATGGAATAGCTGCATCGTCGTTGTACAGTCCTTGTAGCAGTCGGCTAACGTCCTCACGTAAGCTGGGTCCACTCCTTGATCGACTAGCGCAGACAGGATGGCGTTGGTTTCGACGCTGTCGAAGGCTTTCTCGTAGTCGACAAAGGTTAGGACGAGAGGCAGTCGGTACTCCCGGCAGACTTCTATGACCCTCGAAACGGTCTGGATGTGGTCCATGCAGCTGAATCCTTTGCGAAATCCAGCTTGTTCTTGGGGTTGGGCTTCATCCAGTGTCCTTGATATGCGAGCGAGGATAATCTTCGTGAAAAGCTTGTACAGTACACTCAGCAAGCATATTGGACGATATCCGAAGATCCTCCCGTTCACCCTTCTTGAAGAGAAGGACGGTTCTTGACGTTCTCCACTGGTCGGGAATCTTCTCCTTCTGAAGGTAAGATGTCAAATGCGACGCTAGAATCTCGTGTAGACGGTGTCCTCCGGCTCGCAGAAGTTCGACGGAAAGATGATCTGGTCCTGGAGCCGTGGACGTCTTCATGGTCTGTATCGCGACACGCACTTCAGCAGGTAGAATTCGTGGTGGTACTTCTCCAGTGGGAACAACGGGCATCTGCACGGGTGTTGATGAGCGGAAGAGGTTGGTGTAGAAGTTCTTCGCGATAGATTCCATCTTGTATCGGGAAGAAGTCGGAGTCCCGTCTTCGTTCAGTAGTGCAGCCAGCGGTACGTGATATTCGCAGAGGTCCCTTCGGCACTTCTTGAGACTTCGTCTTCTTTCTGCTGCTTCCAGTATCTTGGCTTGCCTGTACTTCCTGAGATCCTCTTGCAAAGCTGTTCTGCAACTGGCGTTGGCTATCAGTCGCTCGAGATGAGTTGCATTCGGATCCTGCCTCAATGATCTTCTTCTTTCGAGCAATTCCTTGGTGGTCTTCGAGATGCGGTCCAAGTTCTTCTCAGAAGTCACTGAGGCGCATTCTCCGCAGGCTCGCAATCCTTTCAGAAGCCGGTCGTAGTCGTACGTTGGGTCCTCCTCGATGGGCCAGTCACAACTTGATATGAGCTCTTCCAGCCTGTTACCGTCATAAACGACTTCCTTCCTTCTCGCGGCACTATGACAGACTTTCTTTTCCAGCCTTCGGCTGAGTCGTATCTTCGCTCGAAGGAGGCGGTGATCGGAGCCACTACAGAAGGATGGAACTACAGAGACATCGAGTAAGCTCCACCTTCGGTTGGTGAGAATGTGGTCGATCTCCGCGTGGGTCGTTCCGTTGGGCGATTCCCATGTCCACCGGCGATGTTCCTTCTTCATAAAGATGGAATTTCCATGGAAAAGTCGTGCGGCGGAGAGAAGCCCAACAGGACGGTTGCCGTTTTCGTTCCGGAGCCCATATCCAAACTTCCCGATCCTATATTCCCTTTCCAGTGGCATCCCGATTTTCGCGTTGAAGTCGCCCACAACAAACTTGTAAAAGGACTTCTCGTTGCGGACGACCTCCTCCACATCTTCGTAGAAAGCATCTAGTTCTGATTCGTCAGCTGCTGATGTTGGAGAATAGCAGTTGATGATGCTGGTGGTCTTCTGATGTGGAGGTCGTAGTCGTAGGATGCCTAGTCGAGGTGATAGGATCTCGTGCGAATCGACAAGATGGACGATAGATGGGTGGACGACAAAGCCGACGCCTCCCACGTTTCGTGATGGAACCTTTTCACCACGAATGATGAGGGTCCCATCACTCATCTGTCGCACGTCCTTCTTCCTGGACTTCGTTTCCTGCAGAGCAATGATGTGGTAGTTGATGTGCTCTGCAGCGTCGAGAAGAGCGTGGAGGTCGGCGTTTGTGGAGACTGTCCTGGCGTTGTAAGTGCAGAGCATGAGGCAGTCTCCATGGCGTGTCGTCCGGGCAGACGTGTCGTTTTTGTCCAATCCGAAAGGCGCCCTGAGTACCCTGACATCGTTCTTGCTACCACCCGGCGCCGTAGGCGGGATCCGATGTACAGGGTTTTTTCTAAATCTTCTTGCTGTCTGAGTAATAAAATTTGTTCCCCTACAAGAGGTGGCTTACTAGGCCTACTCTTGATTTCCACGGGGTGATCGCTGACCCCGGGCTTGGAGCGGGGAGGGACCGCCTAGCGACCAGAATAAGCCAGACGGCGGAGAATCTGGCGCGGCCAGTTCTTAGCTAGGCATCCGGCCGAAACCGGAAACGTCGAACTCTTTCACAGCTTGGGAGGCCCTACCAGAGTATACACTCGGCTGTGCATCGCAGTTCGACACCCAGTGTCACCCCCACGCCACGATGAGGCGACCGACCATTGTGGGGGATCATCACCATCACATATAGGCCTTACGATTGAAAAAATCTAACTTGAAAAGAGCATTGTAGAGATTTTCTCACAAGATGTTATTGGGAATACCGTATATCGGCCTTTTGCGTTCATGGGCCTGCAATCTCGTTAAACGGATGATTTTATTAAATTTCATTGAATGTCAAAAAAAAGCAAGAAAATCTCTTCCTAATGCCATACACATCACCGCAGTAAACGTAAAATTTCTTACAAGGAAATGATACTTGGTGACCCCGGCCATGTGGAATGCGATGTACACCACAAGGTGCATCTCGAAACGCTGATTCTGAATCTGTATTGGAAATCTGCGAAACTATCATTTAAAGGCAGTTATGAACTTTTTTCGTAGAACATTTGCGTTTTTAGGTAGTCAAAATCACCCAATTTGATCTATTTTACCGTTTGAAGTTATTGACGAGAATCTTGAAAGGTGTAACGTTGTATTTATACCTATCTAAATCTATTCAGTGTTTGAAGAGGAAAGAAAAATTTTCATTAATGATTTTCACCCTTCGTCGTAGCGCAATTCATTTTTGAAAAAATAATCATAACTCCATTCAGGTTCTCGTTTCGCAGATATGAAAAAAGGTATTCGAACCAGTATTAAAAGGCGCATTTTCTGATATACAAACCATTATGAATGGCCGGGGTAACCAAGTATCGTTCCCTGCTTGGAGCACTTACTTCAAAAGTAAGGCGAAAGAAAGCGGACAGAAAACTCACACAGCAACCAAAAAAAGCATCAAAGTGACGGGAAAGCAAACATACTGTCCATCACTGCTTCCCATTTCGGTTTTTTTTCTAGGAGTTTGGGCAGGAGACCACGAAAGACGCCTCTACGCAAAACTCGCCGATGGCTACAACAAGCTTGCTCGACCAGTGCGTAACGAGAGCGAACCGGTACTGGTGCTTCTTGGACTTGATTTCCAACAGATCTTGGATGTGGTGAGCCTTTTTTCTCCTTTTTTACTAACTAATGAATTTTCGGAACACCATTTCAGGACGAGAAACATCAAATCATGCATTCGAATGTTTGGTTGCGCATGGTGAGTATTATTAGGTTGTCCCATATGTCGTTTCATATTCGAACCTTCAAACTGATTTTTCTCAAGAAAAAAGGCACTCACAAAGTCGCAAATTCGAGTAAGCTATATGATTACATATTTACGAGCAGCACTGAACCGCTACAGGCAAAGTTGGAAAAATTAGCGCATTATTATTTCTTGCTTTCTAATCACCAAAAAATGCAGCAAGTGTACTTAAACATATGACGAAGAAAATATATGTGTGCGCGAGTGGGGAAATCGCGGAATTTTTCGAACTGATATGCAAAAAGAATTCGGATTTTTTGGCTCAAAACTTACTGCGAATCAAGCTTGTTGCGATCCTGTAAAGCTTGCTTTGGTCTATCGAATGGTACCCGCACTATATTGAAAATATAAGAAGAACTGACTTATATAGGTGAAAAGTCAGATATAAAAAGACTTACGTGACTTATACATTGCATTTCTCAGCTTGGCAGCCTCAGAAGCAGTACATACTATAAGAAGAAAATGCTTACACATTAATCGGCATAGAATACCTTGAGCTCGTTTCCTATTTCTCAGAGCCACGGCTCGGTACGAACAGGCACCAGGGAGATTTCGAAACGAAGTCCCTCTAATCTTGATTGTACGAAGTCCCCTTTGACCCTAAACCCTAAACGTAACAAGCCTTTGAAGACGTCGACTAAAAAACGTTGCAAATATTGTGTCTTTTTGGCCACAAAAACGATATCGCCTTTGCTTTTTGTCCCAAAAACTTGGCATGGGGCTAGCTGTGCCGAGCCCTGCTTAGAGCTTCTTGGGCAAACCACGCTTCTGTGCTACAAATTTGAGTTATCAGATGAATTTTCCACTTCTTTCCCCAAAACTGCAGCTCCATGCCCACTCAGCATCTTGAATCTTCCTTTTTGTTTATTATAGTTCTCGATTAGCTAAGTATTTTCAGCAAAATGCTTTCGGTCTCTTGCTTGTTCATTATCTCGGTCAGTCTCAAAACCATTTCTAACTGCAGAATAATTTTTGGTCGCGGCTGCGCCATTCACTTTTTATCTTCGGAATTTACTTGCAAAAATGCTCTAATTCTAACTTCCTTCAGTCATTCAACACTGTATCAGACTTTCTTTTACCTTTTTTCGAATAGATGTAAAAATCAAAAACCCACTCTTGCGTAGGTGGATGTATTGAGCTTGTTTCGAAGAGTGCGCGTTAGCATCTGAGCGAGCTATAGCAGCCTCCTTGGTCATGCATCGTCTGAAAATGTGGATTTGGTGACAAAAGTGAGAAGCAATCTCGACTTCGTTTTTCAACCGAATATCATACCATTTCATTTCTCAGCATTTTGATAAAGTTTTAGAAAAAACCAACTCTACCTGGTACTCGCATCAAGTATATAAGACTTTTTACTGATACCTAGTCGTCGTGCTATGTAAGAGACCTTCAAAGAATTCATCAATTTTTTACTTGTTCATAGCCATGCTTAATACATACGTAGACGCATATCATTTTCAAATTTGAAGCTTTTTTGCAAATCAAACACGTTTCAGAATATCTACGCATCAAGCAAAGCTTTCATGAAAGGGTGCCAAAACGAAAGCATTGCATCTCGTATAAGCTTGAGTTTTTCAACCTGAGCCAATTCCAAAAAAACTTATTGGTTTGAAACGTACCTTTAATGCACCTGACCAGCTCCATACACAGAAGTTGGATTATGAAAGAAATTTCCATTTTGCTGCTAATCAGCCTAACAAGGTCGCAGAAACATGGAGCAAAACACTATGGTCATTATGCTAAACTAGCTGGGTTACCCGGCTCCGCCCGGCCCTGTCAAAATACTATGTCACACTATCCCTACTCCTGTAAGAAACTTCCCCTGTGCCCACGCCTACATGCCAAATCACTATCCCCGCTGTTTTAGTAATCAGCATGCTCGATTACTCCCCTGTGCCAACTCCCAGCCCCGTAGCTCAAACTTTGCAAAAAATCGATAAAATCGATAGAAGTGGCGGATAATTTCAAAAAGCTAATTTTGTATTCGTAATCAGCATGCTCGATCGCCCCCCTGTGCAAACTCCCAGCCTCGCATGTCAAAATTTACAAAAAAAATCGATAAAATCGATAAAAGTAATGTACGGTTTCAAAAACTAATATTGTATTCGTAGCATGCTCGATTACCCCCCTGTGCAAACTCCCAGCCTCGCATGTCAAAATTTACAAAAAAATCGATAAAATCGATAGAAGTTATGTACGGTTTCAAAAACTAATATTGTATTCGTAGCATGCTCGATTACCCCCCTGTGCAAACTCCCAGCCTCGCATGTCAAAATTTACAAAAAAATCGATAAAATCGATAAAATCGATATCGACCGATGACGAAAAGTAGCCTATGACACGCGCCGGGGCCCGAAGTGTATGTGTGCCAAGTTTGGTCCGGATCGGTTCAGAAATGTAATTTTCTATTCGGAACATACGTACACACAGACATACAGACAGACAGACAGACAGAGAGACATACATACATACATACATACAGACATTCAGCTTTATATATAAGATTTGGGCTATGAATATCCGCAGCTCAATGAAGCTGTGAATTTTCTGGTTCGGTTTTCAAGGAACTAATCTGGGAAATCAGTGAACTAAATGCTTGAGATTGTTTATTAGTAGGTCATCTTAATCCATGTCATATAGTTAGTGGTATTATGTTTCATACCGTCTTTTTTTCCTGCGATAATCACCACACGGGACAAAAGAAGTGACTTTTTTAGAATTTTTCTAAGCGGAGCTCACATTTGTACCATATTTGACCAACTGAGATTCTTTTACTCACGCTTATAACCGATTTATATTGATGGTTCACAGCAATCCACATCATAAATATCATCTAAGTTAGATCAATGAACACATCCTTCTGCGCATATCTCTTCCTCGATGACTCCCTCGAGGATCAAACAAAGTTTTTGATAGATGAGGTTGCTCTCGCTTTTGCTGAACGTTGTTCGTCTGAAAAAAACCATAGATGAGAAGAAGCATAACAAATTGTTTGAGAAGTTATGACCTGCTTTCGGAAAAATGCTTTCATTTAAGAGTTGGATTGATCACTATCTGACTTGGGAGCCATCCGAATACGGTAATATCCGGGAAGTTCGTCTACCCATAATGAATATCTGGAAACCAGACGTATTACTATACAACAGCGTGGATCAGCAGTTCGACAGCACCTGGCCCGTCAACGCTGTTGTTTATCAGTACGTTCAAACTTTCCTCCTTGAAGTTCGTTAGGAACATAGCGATATTTCAGCACCGGAAATGTCACCTGGATTCCACCAGCTGTGATTAGATCAAGCTGCAGCATCGATATCGCTTATTTTCCCTTCGATTCTCAAGTTTGTTCATTCAAGAGAAACGCAAATAGTCGAATTTGTTTCAGCACTGTACAATGAAATTCGGATCATGGACGTACTCAGGATTTTTCACCGACTTACGCAATGCTTCAGTTTCTGTAGGCACATATCAACCAAACGGAGAATGGGAACTGCTAGGTACATTTTTGTCGTTCAAGCAAGTTGCAGCATGAAAGAATGGGCTGTTTCACTCTCTCTCCCTTTGCTTCGGAAGTTGTTAGAATTTTTAATAGGAAAATTAGCGTTTCTTTACAGTCCTTCAAAAACAAAACACTATCGCAAAAAGCTCGAAATGCCTATGAAAACGATGAGGTGATTACACACTACTGCAAAGTCATCAGTAATACTCAGGAACTATGAGCAATCTGCGATGATTCTGACCATAATTTTACGCAGAATGTGACTTAAATAATAGATTTTCGAAGAGTAATTTGTAATTGATCTGTCTTATCTCCTTTCTTTCAAAAAGCGATGTACCCTAAAATCCCGCCAATAAGTCCGGACTTATCTGCAAAAAAGCGGACTTATCTGCGGGACTTTTGGCGGCGCGAGGGTGCATTTCCATAGAAAAAAAACGGACTTATCTGGAAGGCGGACATATCTGAGAGGCGGACTTATTGTAGGGATTTTAGGGTAAGTTAATTCTTCATGGGATTTGTAAAGTGTTCTCTCAATTACACTGGTTCCTCAGATTAGCCTATTTCGTTTCCAAACTTGCGTAAAGATCACGAAGTTAGCAGACCTTTGAAGAAACTGCGAGAAAACACTTTTTTAGATCTTACTTCGACACGCTCTATTTTCTACTACGAATGCTGCCCAGAGCCATATTACGATATAAAGTTCACCATATCCATAAGAAGAAGGACACTTTATTACGGGTAAGTTTTCACTGAGCGGGTTTGTTTCCTTTGGAAAGATGATATTGGAGGTATCCTGGAATACATTTCAATTCACTTTTCCAGTTTCAATCTTGTATTGCCAAGCATGCTCATTTCTGCACTCGCATTGCTCGGTTTCACATTACCAGCAGACTCTGGAGAAAAGCTCAATCTATGTAAGCTCATGTTCCTTTCATATGCTTTACATCTTTCACTGAGATCTAAAAAAATTACAGGCGTCACAATTTTCATGTCTCTCTGTGTGTTCATGTTGATGGTAGCAGAAGCGATGCCGCAAACGAGCGATGCATTGCCGCTAATAGGTTGAATCCTTTTTTAATAATAAAGTAACAATATTTTGATGTTGTTATTTTGTTTTGCAGAAGTCTACTTTTCCTGCATTATGTTCGAAGTAGGAGCATCCGTCGTTTGCACAGTATTTGCTCTAAATTTCCATCACAGGACGCCCGAAAGTTACCATCCTATGACATCACTGGTCCGTGCCTTATAGGCCAACCCCTTATAAAATCCTTTTTTTTTCTTCAGACAAGGAAGGTTCTGCTGGAGTGGTTACCAATATTGCTATTTATGGAGCGTCCCCCACCATTCAATCCAGAGCAGCTAAATGGGCATGTCGTCAGTGAGCGACACAAAGAGAAAAGGTGCTCGTAAATTTTGACATATTCTATCAATCCCTCCTAAGGTTTTTGCTCTCCTCGACTCATTACTACCAAAACGAAGCCATTTAGAAAATCGAGGAGTTTCATTATCGATTCGGAGCCTTTACTAAACAACTGCATTACATCACACAACCACAAGACAAGAGCTGTTCATCTCGACTTCTGTCATGGTTGGAATCATTTTTTGTCTCACTAGAGCTATCAAATGTTTCATGTCCAAAGTTCAAACTGTCTGTCAAGGGTTTTGTAGTAGGTGTTCTGAGCCATCAACATATCTTCTGCGAAAGCAGCTAGATTGGCACGAAACTTCCTGCGTCATCCAAAATTAGTAACTTCACAAATCTTTATCAACCCTTGAGTCTGCTTTCTGGAAAAAAGAAAAGGGTTATCATTTCTTTACAGAGTTCTGGTGTCCCATTTTGATCTCGCTAGAGTCGCAAAAACAAAAAAGGTACAAGAAAACCCCTATTTTTCGCAACATACACTGACATCCAAAAATAAGTGTCAGATAAACACTAAGCCGAGTTTTTGGTCTGGAGCTGTGTCTCGGTGAGTATAGCTTGAAAGCCTTGCTCTCCAGGGATAGTGAGCGGAAAATTGCACTAAGGACTCTTTCGTAAAGAACTAACTTTCTTCTATTTTTTATAAACAAATTCGTAGATTTGTGTTTAAAAATTTGAATTTATCAAAATTCATTTGATTTACGCAAAAACTTCTCTACCTATCTAATATGTGTGAGCTAAAAGCATAGATTTTTGCATGGCACTTCCAACATTATAAAATTTGTTAGAAGGGAACTTTTGTCGTTGTCACAACAACATCAAGATCCAACCTGCCAGTATCACCGTTTACACGCATCTTTCCTACAGGAGGACGCATAGAGGTTCGCCGCCGCCCTAGAAGTGTCGAACGGAACTCATATCCTGCTTCGAATCCATGCAACAATTCCGCATCTCCGTTCCATCTCCCGAAGTATTCATGCACAAAGCTGAACGTACGTTCCGTGGGCCCATCTATTGCTGACTCCTTGACCTCCTACAATTTCAGAATCCGCCTGAAGTGGAACGCAAGTCTCCACTAGTCACTCGGAACGTACTGGATGAACGACAATACGCAAGCATTATCGAGGAGTTACGAGTTATCTCATCGCGTGTCAAAAAGGAGGTCCGTTGAATCATTAGCTTGCTGTATTGAGTTGAAACCTCTGGAATTTAGGAACTGATGCATGCTCAGCGAGCTGACTGGATGTTTGCAGCAATGGTGATAGATCGAGTGTGCTTTGTCACATTCTCAGTTTTTCTCATTCTTTGTACACTTGTTCTTTCCTATAGAGCGCCGCATATCTTTGCATGACCAGCGTGTAGTCCATCATTTGCCTTTCATTATGTCGAAATGCCATATTTTACGAAATTTTACCGCATACATCTCCACTTGTTACGGGTACATCTCATCTCATAACGATGTTAAATAAAAGTTTGACTAGTTGGCAATTTGAGACGGTTCTAGCTTCCTAAAAGCAAATTGCTTCACCGCCTTGCAAGAAGCCATATCCTTTCCTAAATTTCATCACAAAGTTTGATTCATGCCTAATTCAAAGCCAAGATCCAAAGCACTATAGGCCCATTTTGCTCAAACATCTACTTCCAAATCATTCGCGAACAGAGATTGAGAACAATTGGCATATTTTTGCCAAAGCAGACGCGCTGCATCCACCTTTGCCGAGCCCATGATTTCTTTCTGAGGGGAGGGGTGGTGCGAAGAAAATTTTTTAGTACAAGAGTGTGCGTTAGCCACGCACTGCGAAAAACTAGGCTCAGAGGCAGTGACTCAGCAAACCTAATTTTTTTCAACATACTTTGGGCCCTCTGAATGTGCTGAGTCCAATACTGTGCTTGAAACTCCCGAAAAATGCAAAAAAAAATTTTTGTTATGTTGCATTCTTGGCCACGCATACTGCAGAGACGGTAGGACAAGGGACCGTCATTTGTTAAGCAAGCCAGTAACTGAAGAAGAGTATGTCTCAACCCACCCTGCCGTCAACCTAACAATTCACTTACTACAAAATGCGAATTATTGACATTTGGAGAGCTACAAACCAGTTTTAGGCCCAGTGCGCCAAAAAGTCCAATACCAAAAAAACCCTAGAAGCGCTGAGCAAAGCAAAGCTAAGTAAGCCATAGCACTTGGTCCGGTATTTTCGAGAAATTCGCATTCTCATCTGAGCTGTCAAACTGGTTAATTGGTGAGCTCTGACGTAATCGCGCCTTTTACCGTCTCCCACATTAGATGACAAATGTTCCCGCGATATTATAAGACCGCATTGGCAGTACTGCAGAATACCACAATACTTTGTAGTTGCGCTCTCGTTACTTTAGGGACAGTAATTTGACTTGCGAGCTGTAAACCGCAAATCAACTCAATATGTCCCAGCATGCTGTTGAACCTTCGACCACCCGACTCGCACGCGCCAACAATTCCACTGCGCCATCACACCTGCATGAAGCGAGCCCACCCAGACAATGTGCAGCTCCAGCCAGTCAAGAAAATTCTATTGTTCAAACCTGTACATTTATCACAGACCAACACAAAAAAGCCATGCATTCCCATTTAGGTAAATTTGACACATGAATCACCTGTGCAACAGTTACAAAATCCAAGCATTTCCTATCGCAGAGAAAGTTATGCACAATAAATGTTAAAAATTTGTAACGCAACGCACATATTAAATAGAATTTTCCATGTGATGCATCAACTCTATTAATTCCATCTCATCATATAATGATGTAAGAAAAAGATCACCAAAAGGTCGAACCTTCTGCTAATTGACACATTAGATAAACGATGAAAGCGCAGAAAAAATTATTCCTTATTCAGAAGAAGATAGACATGCTGTACAGTTGGAAGCGCAGCGATACTTCTGCCTTCATCATCGTATGCTCTCGCAGCAAATGATATAGCTCTAGCGAAGGTGTCAGCAATCCGCTTGCGCACCGGCGACAGCAGTATTGCTTCAGTTTCTGGGACTCCAATGTACAGCGAATATGTCGCGCAAAGCTAAAAAATTTGGGGTTTTTGATAGTTTGATAGTTGATAGACAAACAGAACGGTTTACAAACCTCTGGCCATGCATGTGTCAGAGCTCTGACTGCAGCCTTCGCCAATTCGCTAACTTTTGCAGGTGACAGATCAGGGTGTTTCTTTATATCAAAATCCGGTTTCAGAAGCTGCAAACGAAAAATATGTCAAAATCAGGGAATCATGATTCGTCCAACCTCGTCCTCAGCAGTATCCACCCAGTTCATCAAAGGACCAACAACAATGTTTGCACTGGTAGTAATGAGCTCATTGCAACGTTTCCGCAACTGAATGTCGATAATTCGGCGGGTGTCACCGCTTTGTTCGGAGATGTAAATTGGAACCTGACATAAAAGTAACGTGAGAGTCGTAATTCACTTTAACCCTATGAAAAGATATGTTGATGATAAAACATGTTACCGAAAACAGTAGCTCCAGAAAAGCGTTGTTTGAGCTTAGTTCGAACCAGCGACTTTTGTCGTCAAACAAGGAACTTTTCATTTTTGCGAAGTCAATTGAACAATCATACATGGGTAGCGTAGCATCAATCCTGAAATGACGAAAAAATCAAAAATAGGAAAAAACCCATCATCTTTACCTAGAGTTAACACCAAAAAGAAAACCCAAGATTGTCATAAGTATCAATAGATGTAACGAACGGATAAACTCCATGCGCCTCCATAAGATTCATTGCGATCTAATTCATAGATATAATTACATGCAAAACCAAATTTCGCAAAAAATTTGAACAACGGCTATTTGACATGCGATACAAAAAGATTCTTTCGAGTGTTGCCTTTCAAGAGGTTATGGTAGCAGTGGCGCACCTAGGAATTCCGTTCGGAGAAAAAAAAGGGGGGGGGGGGGTGGCAATAAAAAATTTTCTGATGAAGGCGCGTGGCATCAACCACGCACTCCGAAAAAAAATTTTGGTATGCTCTTCAAATTTTCGTGGGCTCATAACCACAAACTTTGAAAAAGGGGGCTTTGCAACGTATGATAAGTTTTTCGAACTCTAAAAAATTATTTTTAAATTTTTTTTCAAAAAAGTCACTTGCACATTTGTAAAACCCATGCAAGTAACCTCCAAAAGCTTCGTGATCCATGCTCGGGTGTACCGTATGGAATCGGTCTTAGTCTCACAATGAGGCCTACTCAATGAATGGTTAGGCTGATGATTACCATGTCAAATAACCCCCTACAAAGCAACCACATCCAACGATTTGATTCCATCTAAAAAGGCTCATGTATGGTGAATTCATCCTCTGATGGAAATGTGACATAAATTTCGAAATAGTTTAAAAATTTCATTCGGACCGGGATAAAATGGGAAGCGATTATCCTTGCTCAAAAAAAGGACATTAGTTGGACTGATTGGTCAGCTCGTTTGACAAAACTATTGTAACATTTCGCGAGTAAGGTGTTTTGTGAAATCACCTGTGAGCAGCTTGCCTATATGGAGTAGTTTGCTCTCGCAAGATAAGCAGATGTTTGACAAGGAATAGTTCTCCATCTAGCTTCTTACTATGACCTGTCTAAAAGCACACCGATGATCGCCAGAAGCAAACTCAGATTGTGATTAGACCTTTTTGGATGGCGATGCAGCAATATACAGAGCAGCAGCCTCTAAAGACTCACAGCACATACCGAGTAAGTCGCGAGCTATCGACTGGAAAACCGCTACCTAAAATATGAAAGACTGCTGGCTATCTGCTTGACAGATGAAAACACATTAATACGAAGTGGTACTATGACAAAGAAGTAATAAATGGATTGAAACAATAACTTAAATTGCCTGGGACGTACATCAAGGCATCTGTACAGCTTCGCTAGGCACATGACCGTACGGCGTACAGTGGGATACCATAAACAATGCAGGTCAACTGCGGAAATGGGAGCTGGACTTGGACGAGCTGATGTAGAATCTTTACGGCCGCTTCCTAAACGACAACGGATTCGAAGATATGTACCGCGAAATTTGATTCGTGACTGCGACAGCTACTACTTTCACTTTCTCCTCAAAGATTTTCAGATATTAAAAACTGTGCCAGAAACCAAAATCATAGCATCTACAGAAAGGCAAACCAGCATCCTCCTCCACAACCGCAGCGTCTTCTTTCTTCTTCTCTGACTCAATAGTCTTCATCATTTCTAACTTCTCCGGATAAGCGAGGTCGCCTGTCGCAGGCTTGTATCCAGCAATGTCTGTCTGTCCGTACAGAGCAGCTCTAAAATTGCATAATCGAGAGCGATAAGGTGCGAGAACAAAGGTACATAGCCGGTTGTTGAGCCTACATGAACGCACAGTGCAATCTCTCTTGCTACAAAGAACTAGCGACATGAAGTTTACCCCACTATGTAGGTAGATGAAAGCAAGCGACATACCTGTATACAATTCGCTCTGCGACGTCTCCCACCAACTCGCCAATAACACGTACAAATCCTGCTCTTGGGTCAAAAGAAGTACATTCTTCCGCCACGATCGCTGGTACTACGGAACATCGTTCCTCAATCATCTCTACCTAAATCTTAGCTTCAAAATTTCCAAAATCAGAAGGAATTTGCTGACATCCTTCACGAACAAAGCATAATATACCTTGAGAATGCTGCATATTTCTGCAAGCGTCTCCAAGTGAGGATTATGGATCACGATCGGGCGCAGCATGTCATACAGTAGACGACATATTGCTTCGATAAATTCTTCGAATGGATGCAAAGTATCTGACTGCGTCTGATATGTCGATGCAATAGATGGAGTGGGACTGAGACTCTATAACTTATATGAGAGAATGGATGTGGAAACATTACCTAGTCCGTCTCCCATAACGGGATGGGGGACCATCAGCTGCTTGATTAGTCGAGAAAAACTGTCTATACAATCGGAACTCATCGTCACACAAACCCAAGATAAACGAGCAGCTGCTGCGTGTCAAAGCACAAGAGGAATCAGCGTAGGTGCTAGACATCTTATAAATTATTTAGGCCGATCTAATATATAAAAATATGACCACAACTACATACCTGGCCATATGCGCAAGAGTAGCCTGGATGATTGGTGCAAGAAGCTGCTGCCTAGTATTGAAGTACGCTTGTTGACATTCCAACAACATCGCTTTCAGCTCTGGTACTTGTGAAAATCGTTGCTCAGCCACAGAAAGCGCTGCTCTATGACGGATTCGCTTAATGATAGATGTAAGGAACTTACAGAGATAACTCACTTCACGGAATTAGCCCGGGTAGCGAAAACACCATACAACAGCGCAAAAGTGTCGTCGTCTGCACCACCATCACCCAATTTCGCATAGTCAACCTGACAGAATATAGACTTCATGTTACATATTATAAACTAGTGAACCAGTAACCTCAAAGATGCTAGTTGGAGGCGCGCTCGTTTCGGGACCCGCTCGGTTTCCCGCTGTGTGATGATTTTTGAATGCACATTACGATTCCTCACACACTAGATCGATCAGATACAAAGTCGATTTTTTTTCTTGCGCTTGCTGTTTATGGTTCAGTATGGAGTACCCTACACGTTGGGAGAGACATAAGTTACGAGGTGATAGGCAACGCTATAAGTCAAGCGATAGCAGGCTATGATAAAGAAGGAAGATTTGATAAAAGCCTACGCATAAACCTGCCGGAGCAATTAGCTTAGAAAAACGAAAGTGGTAGAAAATGCATAAAATGAAATACAAATATATGTTAAGTAATGACTAACTTGTAGCTGTGACTGCCTGTCTCTCACATCGTTCACTGAAGCTTCAATATCGGCCATAACACCAACTCGAATCCATGTCATTGCTCTAGAAAATGTACACTGAACACAGTTTCCATCTTTACGACGCTCTGTGCAATTTCGGAAGGTAATAATGTTTGATATAGGAACTGTACACACATGGATCTACCAGTGGCGGTCCCAGGATTTCCGTCCGGATTTTTTCGGGCCCAAGACCCCTAAAATCTGGAAGAAGGGGGAGTGGCGTCAGCCACGCCCCCGAATTTTTTACAATGCTAATTTGAATTTTTAAAAAATTTTAAATGTTATTTTAATCATTTACAAAAATAAACAAGTTATTTGCACATTTTCATAACCCATGTAGGTAAGTTCCAAAAATTCCGCGACCCATTCTCGGGGGGGGGGGATCTCTTTTGCTTTCTCCTTTGCTCCTTATTTTTCGCTAGGAAAATGACAACTGAGATTAACTCACCTGCTAAGACACTGCTCGTACTTGACGATGTATGCAGCAGACTCCTTGTACTCCGGATGTTGGCGAAGGAACGTCAGACATTCGTCGATAGTGGCTAGGATACCGGTGAACATTTGGCCAGTTACAGATATTTTTGTTGTATTGTTTAGCTTCTGCAATCAAATCGTGTTTTCCAAAAAATTTGATTATGTTCAGAGTACCTTCATAATGATGTCGGCTTGTTTGAAGAAGTGTAAATTGGTGCGAATTTGCTCTGCACCTGCTGCTAATGCAGTTTGATATGCCAAGGCACGGTCGCAGGCATCATGTAGACTTGATGTTCGTGCGGTAACGCTGGCATATGATGAGCGAAGCTCAGCCATAGTCTGGAAAACAGGTTGTCCCACAGCATCGCATTGAGAAGAGGCGAAAGGCAATGGTAATTCTATTACACTTAGCATTCAATTCCCCAATACACAAAGTTTCGAAATAAGAATGAGGATCCAAAAGGTAAGTCCTAGCAGAATCAGATCCGAATCTATCCAAGCTACAGCTCTGGCTGCGGCAGGATATGAAAATCTTATAAGGCTACGCACTGTCCTACCTTGGTACAAGCGCTCATGCGCTCCTTCAACAGTCGAAGTCGTTGCATGTTGGCTCGAAGAGCCACAACTTCGGGAGCCTCCTGTTTTTCCACAAGTGGAAGCTCCATGTTACGAGCCTCGCGGATTGCCGAACATAAAGCGCTAGCCAAAACCGAATCTCCTGTCACGCATTTGTGATCATCTAAAAACCAGACTATGCCGGTCCCGTATTTCCATTAACGAAAAACATTCTACCTGCATCGGTCGTATCATCGCTCTCAACAGGAAGACCATAGGTCGAAGCTTTCGCGGCCAATAACTCGACGGTTTTCAGATGAAGCTGTTCAAACTCCATCTGAACCTTGACAATAATATAATAAAACATGCATAATAATAACAACTAGGCTAAAAAACGGTGATGTAAGTATAGATGGTAGCCAACCGTCACATACCCGACTTAAAATCGATGTTTATCAAGAGGAGATCATGTATATCACAAACCAATATACAAAGTGGAGTACAGTCAACAACGCAAAGACATGATATAACAACTTTTATTTGTACAAGTATTTGGTAACAACTTGCGATTGCCAGTCCGCACAGTCAGTCAACATAGCGAAATCGTTCGCTTCGTACCTGTAAATGATTGATGTCTTTGTAATGCCAAGAATCTAGAAGATTGTGGTAAATAGAGGGCCGAACATGCTTCACGCGATTTCATCGCTACACGATTCTCCCAGCAAGACAACAGTTACGAGTCCATTATATGTCGATCAACTTGCACTTTGGATAAAATTTAGCCTCGATTAGTCGTGCCGAAAAACTATCACAACCAAGATGCAAGATGATCGACATGCAATCACAAGGCGTGATGTAAGTCCGGCCCTTAATATAAATGAGGTAATATTCCTTCTCAAACTGGACTTCTCAAACTATTCGTGTTGTTGAAACATTGTATTAGCATGTAAACAGAGAACATTCCAAGCCAGCAGATCATGGAGGAATTATCAGCTTATAGACAACGTCCACCAAAATTCAAGTTTAGCAGGATTTTGATGCAATACAATGGCGAGGTCCTCAACAAAATGATTGTTCAAGTTCTGCGAAAGGTGTATTGCGAAGCGAGAAATCGTTCTCTTAGAATATTGAGGTGGGGTCGCAACGCCTATCAAATTGGGCGGTCTAAAGTAACAGGTCCGAAACTGGATTACATACTTAAATGCCAATGGAAGTATGTTTTTCACAGCGAAAGGCCGATTCTAGACATAACCAGGTACTAACTGTTTGCATTCGGGTTAAATTCAGCACATTTAGGCGTTTTGGACTGCACCCATTGTAGCGAGACTTGGGAAGTTACTCAAGTGCCTTGCTACTTCAGTGCATCAAAATCACTCAATCTCAAATATGGTCAACCATTATGGAGAAGAAGATCAATTAATTAAGCCGAAAAAGCAAAAGTTTAGTGCTAATTACCTTGTACTTTCCATCTTCCACCATGAGAATAAAAGTGTGGGTGAAGCCATGCATAGTGCCTCCCAACGTCACATTTCCTGCAGTTGTGACAGTCAGTAAGTCGGGTGACCCCGGAAGACCCGCGTTCACTTGTTGAACATCCACAGATACCAGATGATGATCAGTTTCAGGAAGTGACGAAATAAACCTGGAGTAATAGTATTTGTGATTGCTCTCCTGAGCAGAACGAGATAACACCAAAGCTGTTGGGGTTAATCAATTGGAGCTCACTTGAATATATTATCACTTCCGTTGACTGGATTTCCGTTCCACACCAATGTTGCACCGTTATCACAGTAGAGGTAGTTAATCTTGTCTCTTTTTCTGTCCATCGCGTCATAAAATATTTTTGTGAAGTCTGACGCTTCCTTGCAGATTTTCTCATCCAATTTGTCTGCATCTGTAGCCATCTTCTACTGGAATTTATTAGAGTAAGGACGAGCAGATGCAAAAAAACGTCTTAGGAGAAGTGCTCAAAATATAAAACGGTCACATCAATTAAACGTAATTTAACTGTTCAAAGCCAGAAATCTCAGATTTGGAGCACTCTTGGCAAAGAAGTCGTGTCGTTATGCGATTGCACCCGCTCCAAAAATCGAAATCGAGTACAATGGCGAATCAAGCAATTCCGAATGAGATTCGGCATAATGTCTGACTAAAAATCGAATTTCTGACACAGAGACAATATGATGTCTGAAGGTTTTTATAACTTGAAACCAATATTTTCACAGCAAGTTTCGAAACAATTGACGCGCTACGATCGCAAGGTCTGGACCAGCACAAGTAAAACGTGGTGCCAACACGGCGCCAAAGAAGACGATTTGCAGCAGTCTAAAAAGTTGGCGACATCCATGTGTCTCCTACAACTGTTCCCATAGAATCTACTACAATCCGTGCCAACGTGGTGCTCCCTCTTCCACTCGCCAAATCACAAGCCCAGAGCCTGGCCCCGCGTTCGCGCGCGTGTAGCCTGCGCATTCAAAACTTGCCTCATCGTTCGGGGTCGCCGCGCTAGCCCTTGGGGTGCGAAAGCGTAGCTGCTACGGAAACCAGGGCCCGGCAAAAGGTGGCATTTCAGAATTTTGAAAACGATATCCCCTTTGAAGCCAAAATTTCTTACGACTTCCCCTTTGACCCTATTTTTGACCCCCGTAAGTCCCTGGCAAACAGATATACACAAATAATAAGATGGGCGGCCTCAGCGCTTATTATAGTAGTACTACCTGGCTTTCCTGGTCCAGCCCGGGTCATCGTTTGAGGGGATGGCCAAAAACCACACTTTGTCCTTCCTTCCCGTCCTTTTGGGCCATATTCTCCACCCCTTTTCTGCAGTATCAATACTGCACTGCAGCCCTTCCCCTTACCCTCCTGCACGAGCTTACCCCAGAAAGGCTTATTGGAGTGACTGCACCTTCTAATTTTAAAGTGGAAATGAACTTCACTGCATTGTTCACACCAAAATGTGCAAGCAGTTTGTTAGCGGCTGGTAAGTGTTCACTTTCCTTGCAAGGTGCCAAAAATCATTGAATCGATAGAAGAATCCCACGAATTGCTTCGAAGGGTAGCTTAAAACCATCTACCGAGGCCGAAAACATATGTTTTCAAGGTTTCAGCTCAATGGGTTCATCCGCAAAGGAATCTATAAAAAAAAAATATAGGGTCAAGATTTGCACAAACTTTGACGTTTATATATCTAAGATACTACTCATTTATTAGTCAGCTGCGAAACTTTACAATTTACATAACCGATTGCGATTGGAGCGCGCTTTCCGAGGCCAATCATAACGCTGTGAACCCTATTTGGGGCTGTATCGAAGCGGTGTCTTGGTGGTTTTGGAAGCGGATTTGAACATATAGTAAAACTCTCAACCTAGCCCACATTTATGTAAAGAAATCCGGGAAATTATGTGAAGGGAAGCAGGGAGCCACCCCAGGTTGCTCCCAGGTGGCACGGGAGCCACCTAATTTCGAAAAACACTTTCCATTTTTTAAATTCACATAAGTTTCTCATAACTCTTCATACTTTTTTGTGCTCATGGTCCTCCAACTACACAGCAAATTTGGTGCCATATCGTTACTTGTGCATTGAAATCGAGCCTATTTTGTTATTTTCCTCGTACAAGAATTGCGATTTGAATTCCCGCCTGCGGGCAGGCTAGCGATCGGAGCACAGAATCTTCACATTGCTGGAATCTAAGTTCATAGGACAGTAGCATCAACAAGGAATCTTATATATAAAGCTGAATGTCTGTTTGTCTGTCTGTCTGTCTGTCTGTCTGTCTGTACGTATGTTCCGAATAGATCTTATATATAAAGCTGAATGTCTGTTTGTCTGTCTGTCTGCATGTCTGTCTGTCTGTCTGTCTGTCTGTCTGTACGTATGTTCCGAATAGAAAATTCCATTTCTGAACCGATCGGGACCAAACTTGACACACATACACTTCTGGCCCCGGCGGGTGTCATAGGCTACTTTTCGTCATCGATCGATATTGATTTTATCGATTTTTTGCAAAATTTGAGCTACAGGGCTGGGAGTTGGCACAGGGGGTAATCGAGCATGATCACCCCCGTGGGGGGTGATCAGCATGCTCGATTACACCCCCCTGCCAAATTCCAGCCCCCTAACTCAAATTTTGCAAAAAATCGATAAAATCGACAACGATCGATAACGAAAAGTGGACTGTGACACCCGCCTGGGCCCGAAGTGTATGTGTGCCAAGTTTGGTCCGGATCGGTTAAGAAATGGAATTTTCTATTCGGAACATACGGCGGAGCCGGGTAAGCCAGCTAGTGATGAATAAAGAATGATATGTGCATTGTTTATCGGTAAACAAAGGGTGTGAAAGCGCCACACCCGCCGGGCCCTGACGGAAAGGGGAGCACTTAACTAACATCGAGTGTACGTCAGCTCGATGTCCTTCGATCGTTTTGACACGTTCACTTGAAGAAAATGCTTTAAGGGCAGTGTCCGGGCGCGGAAGTTGGGAGCGTGAATCACATTGGGGGAAACCTAATCGCTACGCTGAATCCGAAAATTCATACTGGAGAGCGCGAAAATGGCGAAAAAGGGCTCTAATGCAGGAAGGAAATTAGAAGGTGGGGTCCTCCCCACTGTGGATTCACGGTCCCGGCTTCCGGAGCGATCTTCTTAGTTCCGATTTCAAGTCAAGCCGTTTGCAACTTGGCAGTGGCGATGTCAGGGCGGTTTAGCGAAATAGATAAGATCGCATCAGGAGTTGGGACCGTGAATTCACAGGAGAAGACCCCGCCCACTTCCGGCTTCTCTCCTGCGTATGAGCCCTTTTTGCCGTTTTCGCAATCTCCAGTGTGGATTTTCGGATTCAGCATAGCGTGTAGTCGCGGGTAAGCACGAATCTCAAATCCGACTTTTTTGCCCGGACACTGCCTTCAAACTGGCTCAAGCTAACATGTTAAAAAGAGCGCAAGCTAGGCTGATCTGATACCTATGGGACAACTGCAGATCTCATGACGAACAGCAGTCGATACTGGTGTCCGTTAACCTGTCATAGGATGAAGAAACCAGCCATGTCTCTACCATTTATGCAGTATTTCACAGAGCTATTACCACTCCACCGAGGCTAGTCACGTCCGCTCAATAAAGAGTGCTTGCGGTGCCGAGAAAATGTGGTAAAATTTGTGCGTGAGCGTAGCCACTCCTGTTACGCTTTGTGCGCGCAAAATGCCGGCTTAGTGACATGGCTATTTGAGAAACTGACATGCGGGGGACTACGGGGTGTGGGGTGGGGGCAGATACATTTCTCGATGCCACAAGTAGAAATCCGTGAAAGTCATTGAGACGGACGATACACCGCCTTCATTTTGCGCCGATTGTCGCCTTCCGCGTGCCCCCGGTATGAGCTACTCCGAGAAGATTTGCAGCGATTATGCTATCTATGGACCTCCTTTGCAACACAAGATTTTTTTTTTTGCTGAACAAAAGCGAAATGAAGTCAAAAGAGGGGCAAACAATGAGAAATGTCACATAATTTACATAGGAAGGGAAGTGCGGGTGATGTTGTATAATGCCATAATAAGTTACGAATGACTTGACGATCCCATTACGTGCACATATAAGCACAAATTATCTTGCTTGAACATGTTCAGCAGTGATGATCTTACATCAAAGGCACCGAGTTAAGGTGATGTACACAGGAATGATTGAGACAGAAACCACTTCACTCTAAAAACTACTGGAACAGAAAACACGGAACCGTTCAATCAACAGATGTGGTGTAATCCGATTGGGAACAAGAGCAAATCAACTTTCATTGAATTCTCAGACAGTTGAGCAACCCCATAATGATACGTAGGGCCAAGCTATTCATTCAAGGGCTCATGTCTGACAAACCAGGACATTTGCTTACGTCTAAGAATACTGATTTACGAATTAATTATGGGCCTCAAAACAAGCAGTTCGGTCATCCAAAACCTTCCATGAAAGAGAAGCTCAATCTTTTCTGCATATGAATCCTAAGCAAAAGAATTCTAAGAAAACATTTCGTTATACTGCTACAACATATTCGAGTACCTTGAATAAACTGACTAATGCAAAGTTTGTCGTCATACACAAGTGATCATGTCATCAAGTTGAGACGAATTTAGAAAAAATCGGTCCCAAATAAGGACGCATATAAAAACTTTAGCAGATCAAATCAGAGTTGTTTTTCTGAAATGACTGTTCTCTTTTGTTGCTTGTGGCGAAATCAGCCGCGAACATGTGCGAAAAATTGAACTGTATTCACTTACAAATACTAGCAGAGCAATAAAAGCTCTCCATGCTATTTCACTAACTGCATTTACAGCGAATGAAGATCATGTCAGATGGAAACAATAACAATAAATTAATCTTAATCAGCATGCGAACAGATATATTCTAAAAACAATCACATTTCGTAAAATGTACAAAAGAAGACGGGATGCGCTTCTCCCACAAACCCGTCCTTCTGATAACAGAAAGGCAGTAAACACCTCACTGATCTGAGAGGTAAGATTACAAATTACAAAACAAACAAGCTCCTAATTCGTTTTCTTCGTTTTACCATTGTTGTTGTTGCGAGGTGAGCTTGGTTTGGGAGACTTCTTCTCATTCTGTTTCAGAATCTCCCTCGGAATCCATTCGAAGTCGACTTCCGAATTGCTAGTTCCTTGTTCCACGACAGGTTGTCTCTTCTTTTGCATGCCAGCTTTGCGAGTGAACTGCAAGCAGAGAGACTTTACACTTAAATATGACGATAGTTGAACAATAATCCTTGAAAATGACAAGATTACGCACCTTATTTAAAAAGTGTTGTCCGATCAAAAGCAAGAGCACAAGTAGAGCAGCAAAAACGAGATACATGAATCCAGTTTCTGTGTTGAAAGCAGACTCATCCTCGAGAATAGTAACGGTATCGTTGAAGACATTGGTGACATAATGCCCCTCCTGAAATAAGCCATTGAGGTCATTGGAAACAGCATCAGCATAGTTGTACTGCGTTAGCTAGATAAGTAGCTAACTAATAAACTGGAAGCACTAGCGCATGTGCAGTGCTCTAGAAAGAGGCGCATAGCCAGTAAAGAAGGCATTGTCAAAAAACTAGATTTTGGTGCACGGAAAGCCAATTTAAATTCAAAAGGAATGAGTTGCACGATTGAGTCAAAGATCAAGTTGCTTTGAAATGCGAAGTAAAAAGGTGTAACTTACTGAATCTTCGTAGTGAAGATTCACAACAAGTCCGAGAGGGCGTCCGGCAAAACTCTCATGGGCAAAGAAAGCGTAATCGAGGGTGACTTCTTCTTTCGGTGAAACACGGCGATTATATTGGCCAAGAGTGAACTGAAAAGATACTTTGGTCATCAGTTCACATCACGAAAGAGATCTAACCGCACTTACGTTTTGGAGATAGTAGTTGAAGTCCATGGGATAACGGAATGACGTCTCCGAATGCTTCACTATGAAATCTTTTTCGCCTCGGTTTTGGAATCCGATCAGGAATTTGACAACTTTTCCACCCAGTAGTTCTGAATAGAAAGTATGAATAGAAGTATCGCAGAAGTGATAGGAAGATTTTGAATATATGATAAACATGTATATCTAGCTACCAACCTTTGCCAGTGTTTGCTCCAGGAGGTTGTGTAAAAATGAACGAAACAGCCGCATCAGGCGAAGAAGTTACGGTCAAGTCATCGTCTTCAGCTTTTACAACATCTTGATCATCGGTTACCTCCCCATCAACTGTGTCTTCCGCATTAACGAAAACTGTAACTTGTATGATAGGAAGACAAGGCTGCTGATTGAAAGTCTGTTTAGACCAAAAGTATTGAAAGTGACGCCATGAACTGCGTTGCTTCCAAAACTTGTTTTAGAAAGCATAACAAAGATAACTGAATCTTTCAAAGGTAAGAAGCCAAAGCATGCTGGTTCCAAGTAACATTTTCAAACGCAAGTTTCATAAAAAAGGCAGTTTTGTGGTATCAACCGATATCTTTGGTTTATTAACTTAAACGCAAATAACAAATTAGGCAATCGAGAAATTGATAGCAGAGTAGTTCCCTGAGTAGTACAACGTTTGTTGAGAAAACTATTCCAAAACCTTTGAACAGCTACAAGAAAAAGAACAATAAAAAGTATTGTATAAAAAAGTAAGATCAAAAACAGGAAAATATCAATAGTACCACTGAAAAGATTTCAGACTCATACCTGCTGAGATAGTAAGCAGCCCAAGTAGAGCGACCAGAAAAGTCCGCGAAAGCATGCCTGAAAAACTAACCAGATGTAATCAAAGTATACATAACACGAACTATGAGAGAGACTGATTGCAAATGAATATGTGACCGACAATGCGTGCAAATATCCCAGTAGTCGATGAGGAACAACGGAATCGGCGCAACGGAACCCCGGCCACTCCCCTTCGCCCACCGTAATCCTGCAGTTAACAGGCCGAGCTGCAAACAACCATGCCGGGACCAGCGACTGATCAGGCTGCCTTGCCTTTAAAAGCAAAAACTGCTTTCGAGAGATTGACGCAAGAGGATGTTGTGAGTGGCAATACAACTCCTTACTTGAGCTTTCTGAGATGGGTTAAAAATAATGCATAAGGGGAAACGATCAAGAATGTTTTTGTAGAGCTGCTATGATCGCTACCTCCTTACGTCTTCACGCCGGAAAGGCCGAAAGTTTTGAATGCGTCGGAAAAATGTCAAAAATTGCTGGAAAAGAGAGGAGTGAAGCGTCTGCTAGACGTGTTTTTCTTCGTACCTAGCTTGGTCGATCTTGAATTACAGAGGCTTTTAGTTGTTGGGCTCAGCGTTGGGCCGAAGCTGAGTAAGGGATCGGCCATACTATTCCTGCTATTCCTACGACTCCTGCGATTCCTGCGATTCCTGCGAGTCCCGCACAGTTTATACGCCGCTTAAATGAGCGCGTGTTGCGTGTTACGCGTTGTTTTACGCAACACGCGCTCATTTAAGCGGCGTCTAAACTGTGCTGGACTCACAGGAATCGCAGGAATCGCAGGAGTCGTAGGAATAGCAGGAATAGTATGGCCGATCCCTAAGGGAAGGTTGATGCTTGTTGTTGATGTTCGATGCTCAGAGGTCACCAATTTAACAGTCCGATAATAGCGAGTCATTCAAATATACCAGACAAAGTGCTCTAGTTCACTAATATCTCAAGCAACCGCCTGCTAAGTCTGATGGCTTTTGGTGAAAGCTTGCATATTCACGAAAACGCCTTTAGCTGCATCTTCACGGATTTTTGACCTTGAATTTACTTCAAAATGATTGAGCAACCTATATAACGATCATACATATCTTGTTATTTAAATTGCTTCTATAACATCAAACACTAAGAATGCGCTAATTGGTGTCCATCTGGCAATAAAAATCGCGCCTCTTGACATATCGTGCATCCCCCACGATTGTTCCCAATTGAACTATGAATTTGGCTGCCTTTTGATCGTTTTAACACGTTAAGTCCAGCAAATTTAAAGGCAGTGTCCGGGCAAAAACTCGGCTTCTAGAGGATCCACTTGAAGGGGATTATCCGCAACGCTGAATCCGAAAATCCACATTAGAAGGTGCGAAAACGGCGAGAACATGAGTTTTCCAAAGCCTTACAATCTAAAATTCGACGGTCCCCAAGGCTGAGACGCAGAGTCGCTCCGGGACCCTACGACTTTAATCAACTGTGGCGGCATGCGTACTCTGCCGCATAGCAGGCGAAAAGGTCGGAGGACCCGCCCCGAGGCGTAAGTTTCCCCTCTTTCCGGTCGTTTTTCTCGTTTTAAGTCGAGCGTTATGACCTCGCACTTGCGCGATGTTGTGTCTGAGGGGGGCCTCTTTCGCATGGCACTGAAATCCAGGACCCCTAACTTGCCCGGACATTGCCTTTAAAGGCACCGTCTACCCAAAATTTGAATTTTATGTCTTTGTCGCCTTCAGGCCTTCTGAAAGCCCTGATTCCGAATATGGAGTCGAGAATCTGCGAAACCCCCAAAAATCCCTGTTTCGAGACCGCTGCAACAAGCACAGGCGAGATAAAGCATGCAAGTGGACGGGACGACCATGGTCGCCCCGCCTACTTTGCTACTTCCGGAGCGAATTTCTCGCTCCAGAAGCAGTCTTTTGCGACGAAGCTTGGGGGTTTGCTTAGTGTGGGGGCGCACACTAGTATGCCATCATAATCTCGCCAACCTCCATTTTGGGTGGACGGTGCCTTTGAGGCGCTCATTCGAAGTTGACATGTTAAGATGATCGAAAGACAGCCACGTTGATGCTTCATATGGGAACAATTCTGGGGGATGCACCATAACTACTCCCAAGCTGAATACCATCTTACAGCCATAAGCAAGGCCTATTTGCCCCTCTCATATCCGTGTGCCCTCGGCAAATCATTACAGGCATAATATGGGACGGATGATCACTACGTAATATATAACGAATTCGTTGTTTACCCATTAAGCCGCCCGATAGTTGGATCATGGCAAACGAGGAGGCCGCAGACGTAAAAATTATGATGAAATACACTGATCTTTGGAATTGGATTGCTGCCAAGTAGCATGCGTTTTGGAACGCTGCCAAATTTCATAACGAGTGACCAAGCAGATTTTCGTAAAAGGGTCAATGAGTGTCGCAATAATTTTGAGACTGTGTCGCCAGTGTCCGGGTGTGTTATTTGTCCCACCTTTTTAAAATCGAACTTGTTATCCCAGAATGTGTTTTTCAAACATGTTCTACTCCTATTAGTCCCAGAATGTGTTTTTCAAACATGTTCTTCTCCTATTAGTCTGTTCTACTTTTTCAAACATGTTCTACTCCTATTAGTTGCTTTTGAAATAATGCCAAATTGCGTGAAAGCGTGACCTGAGCTAAATTCATCTATATTCTCAAATCTTCGTAAATAACAACAGTCACTTCAAAATTATCTTGCTTCCGAGTGTAGACAAGAGAGTGCGTGAATAACTTAGTCTCGCTGGTACTTTTAGAAGCGTTTATCTAACAACAGCCTTGCTTTTTTTTCGTGGGTATCGGTGTGTAAGCGGCACGTAGGGCAATTCCATCGGGCAGGGAACAGGTTTTTGTACGTTTGGGGCAGTTCTCAGAATTGGAAGTCCAAAGGTGGCAGTTTGAAAATACGCTGTAAATACTTGATTTCGTTGTTCTCTTTCTGTAGAGTCGTAAAATTGGCTTTTTATATATACGATCTCCAAGCGGCACGTAGGGCATGAACTTTCTTTTTGAATAGTTACTGTCGGTCTGTAAGCGGCACGTAGGGCAACCCGATGGCAGGGAAACACATTTTTGTATGTTTGGGGCAGTTCTATAATTCCTAAACGATCTTCAAGCGGCACGTAGGGCATAAACTTTCTTTTTGACTATCGGTCTGTAAGCGGGTTTTTTTTTCAGATTTCTTATGTTTGGGGCAGTTCTTGTAATTCTTAAACGGTCTTCAAGCGGCACGTAGGGCATAAACTTTCTTTCTGAATAGTTACTCTCGGTCTGTAAGCGGCGCGTAGGGCAACCCGATCGAGCAGGGAAACAGAATTTTTATGTTATGGCAGTTCTTGTAATTTTTTACCGGTCATCAAGCTGCACGTAGGGAATAAACTTTCATTTTGAATAGTTACTCTCGGTCTGTAAGCGGCACGTAGGGCAACCGGATCGGGCAGGGAAACAGATTTTTGTACGTTTGGGGCAGTTCTTATAATTCCTGAACGGTCTTCAAGCGGCACGTAAGGTATAAACTTTCTTTTTGAATAGTTACTGTCGGTCTGTAAGCGGCACGTAGGGCAACCCGATCGGGCAGGGGAACAGATTTTTGTATGTTATGGCAGTTCTTGTAATTTCTTACCGGTCTTCAAGCGGCACGTAGGGAATAAACTTTCATTTTGAATAGTTACTCTCGGTCTGTAAGCGGCACGTAGGGCAACCCGATCGGGCAGGGAAACAGATTTTTGTACGTTTGGGGCAGCTCTTATAATTCCTGAACGGTCTTCAAGCGGCACGTAGGGAATAAACTTTCATTTTGAATAGTTACTCTCGGTCTGTAAGCGGCACGTAGGGCAACCCGATCGGGCAGGGAACAGATTTTTGTACGTTTGGGGCAGTTCTTATAATTCCTGAACGGTCCTCAAGCGGCACGTAAGGTATAAACTTTCTTTTTGAATAGTTACTGTCGGTCTGTAAGCGGCACGTAGGGCAACCCGATCGGGCAGGGGAACAGATTTTTGTATGTTATGGCAGTTCTTGTAATTTCTTACCAGTCTTCAAGCGGCACGTAGGGAATAAACTTTCATTTTGAATAGTCACTCTCGGTCTGTAAGCGGCACGTAGGGCAACCGGATCGGGCAGGGAAACAGATTTTTGTACGTTTGGGGCAGTTCTTATAATTCCTGAACGGTCTTCAAGCGGCACGTAAGGTATAAACTTTCATTTTGAATAGTTACTCTCGGTCTGTAAGCGGCACGTAGGGCAACCCGATCGGGCAGGGAAACAGATTTTTGTACGTTTGGGGCAGTTCTTATAATTCCTGAACGGTCCTCAAGCGGCACGTAAGGTATAAACTTTCTTTTTGAATAGTTACTGTCGGTCTGTAAGCGGCACGTAGGGCAACCCGATCGGGCAGGGGAACAGATTTTTGTATGTTATGGCAGTTCTTGTAATTTCTTACCAGTCTTCAAGCGGCACGTAGGGAATAAACTTTCATTTTGAATAGTCACTCTCGGTCTGTAAGCGGCACGTAGGGCAACCGGATCGGGCAGGGAAACAGATTTTTGTACGTTTGGGGCAGTTCTTATAATTCCTGAACGGTCTTCAAGCGGCACGTAAGGTATAAACTTTCTTTTTGAATAGTTACTGTCGGTCTGTAAGCGGCACGTAGGGCAACCCGATCGGGCAGGGGAATAGATTTTTGTATGTTATGGCAGTTCTTGTAATTTCTTACCGGTCTTCAAGCGGCACGTAGGGAATAAACTTTCATTTTGAATAGTTACTCTCGGTCTGTAAGCGGCACGTAGGGCAACCCGATCGGGCAGGGAAACAGATTTTTGTACGTTTGGGGCAGTTCTTATAATTCCTGAACGGTCTTCAAGCGGCACGTAAGGTATAAACTTTCTTTTTGAATAGTTACTGTCGGTCTGTAAGCGACACGTAGGGCAACCCGATCGGGCAGGGGAACAGATTTTTGTATGTTATGGCAGTTCTTGTAATTTCTTACCGGTCTTCAAGCGGCACGTAGGGAATAAACTTTCATTTTGAATAGTTGCTCTCGGTCTGCAAGCGTAGGGCAACCCGATCGGGCAGGGAAACAGATTTTTGTACGTTTGGGGCAGTTCTTATAATTCCTGAACGGTCTTCAAGCGGCACGTAAGGTATAAACTTTCTTTTTGAATAGTTACTGTCGGTCTGTAAGCGACACGTAGGGCAACCCGATCGGGCAGGGGAACAGATTTTTGTATGTTATGGCAGTTCTTGTAATTTCTTACCGGTCTTCAAGCGGCACGTAGGGAATAAACTTTCATTTTGAATAGTTACTCTCGGTCTGTAAGCGGCACGTAGGGCAACCCGATCGGGCAGGGAAACAGATTTTTGTACGTTTGGGGCAGTTCTTATAATTCCTGAACGGTCTTCAAGCGGCACGTAAGGTATAAACTTTCTTTTTGAATAGTTACTGTCGGTCTGTAAGCGACACGTAGGGCAACCCGATCGGGCAGGGGAACAGATTTTTGTATGTTATGGCAGTTCTTGTAATTCTTACCGGTCTTCAAGCGGCACGTAGGGAATAAACTTTCATTTTGAATAGTTACTCTCGGTCTGCAAGCGTAGGGCAACCCGATCGGGCAGGGAAACAGATTTTTGTACGTTTGGGGCAGTTCTTATAATTCCTGAACGGTCTTCAAGCGGCACGTAAGGTATAAACTTTCTTTTTGAATAGTTACTGTCGGTCTGTAAGCGACACGTAGGGCAACCCGATCGGGCAGGGGAACAGATTTTTGTATGTTATGGCAGTTCTTGTAATTTCTTACCGGTCTTCAAGCGGCACGTAGGGAATAAACTTTCATTTTGAATAGTTACTCTCGGTCTGCAAGCGTAGGGCAACTCGATCGGGCAGGGAAACAGATTTTTGTATGTT